ATGTTTGTTTCCCCCTTGCTTGTCTAAACTGCCCTATCACCTTTATTCATCTTTCAGGACTTGGTCAACCCCAGGAACATTCTGTGACCTTTCCAGCTAGCCCTCCACTGAATTTCTGTGGTATTTACCCAGTTTGGTGCTTAATTATATGTGACTTCATATGCAGATATCATCAAAATTCTAGACACCTCTAGGGTAAAGACCTGGTGTTTAATCTGCCCTGGCCAGTGTGGCTCAGTTAGTTGGAGCATCATCCCTGTACACATCAAGGTCACAGGTTTGATTCCCTGTCATTGGGGCACGTATGGGAGGCAACTGATCTCTCTCTCTCTCTCTCTCTCTCTCTCATTAAAACACACACACACACACAAACATGTCCTCAGGTGAGGATTAAAAAAATAACAAGTTTTTTAATTCCCACAGGAATTGGTACTAAATTGATAATAGTAGCCTCATAAATACTTTGAGTTCAATTAATTGATATGACTGGCTCCTAATTGTTTTCCTCGCTTGCATGAATCTGACTGCCCAGCTGAGAAATGATTGAGAACACCTGGAAAGTGTGCTCAGCCTAACAGGGCCTTTTCCCATCAAAAGTGATAGGAAAGCAAATCTTCCTTCAAAAGTTCTCTGTGGAAACCCTCGAATCTACATTTTCAACTATCTTCTGATGTTTCGTTTAGTATATTTCCCATTGTCACATTGAAAACCACTTGACTTGGGGGAAAGGGTGATCTTAGAATATGCACTAAAGTATTGCTCTTTGTACAAATATTAAAACAATACTTTTTAAAATGATAAATAATCACAATATTTTTAATTCTTTTTTAAAAATAATAATTATGACAGTTTGGAGGTGCGCAAGCTGTGGTGTTCCTCACTGATAACTGCATGCAGATAGCTAGAGTCCTGGACTGAGTCAGATGTGTTTCTACGAGGGTTGGTGGCTTGGCCTCTGCTCTTTTCAGTGCATGATGGATAGAAACACATAAGCCTGCGTGTGTCCTGAGACAGTGGTAAGACCCAGAAGGCATAACTTCTGCGATGGTGTTATGTAAACCAAAAATGCTAGGGGAACATAAGGGACATTGTCTCATGCTCATAGTAAGAATCAAATCGAGTAGAATGTAAATTAAAGAGCCCCTTTTGGTCTGTTTTTCAAGAGGATCCAGTTCTTAGTGAATGTCCGTTAAAAATATTTGGCATGAGTGATTTGGAGAAATGCTCATTATGCAATTCCACTTTGTGATAATGGGCTGGTAGAGAAAGGAAACTAAAAAAACAACACACTTGCCCTAACCAGTTTGGCTCAGTGGATAGAGCGTCAGCCTGCGGACTGAAGGGTCCCAGGTTCGATTCCGGTCAAGGGCATGTACCTTGGTTGCGGGCACATGCCCAGTAGGGAGTGTGCAGGAGGCAGCTGAATCGATGTTTCTCTCTCATCGATGTTTCTCTCTCATCGATGTTTCTAACTCTCTATCCCTCTCCCTTCCTCTCTGTAAAAAAATCAATAAAATATATTCAAAAAAAAAACAACACTAAAGCTTTTTAAACTACCCTCTCCAGTTATAGAGCATATTTTTTTCAAGTAGATGAAACTTTATTCTGATAGAACAAACCCCGGGTGATCCAGATCTGAACTGTGGCTCTGAATGGCCCCAATCATAGAGCCAAAGAGACAAGGAATGCAGATTGGTTTTGACATTTTAAAATCTAAATTAAGTAGGCAGTTGCTTTTCATTTCAACAGTGGGAAGAATGTATATTTTGGGGGATGGGGAAACTTTCCCCTTTCTTTCCCTGTTAGTTCTTCTGACTGGTCGAATCATTAAAATGACATAAGGCAGATTGGCAGGAGAAAATCAAATTTGCAAAGTGCTCACAGGGAATTCACACAAGCAAGAAAATTCCTAGGACAGTAAGGCAACCTGAGGTATAGATGTCATTCTGGATTAAGGAGGGGGAAGAGGGGGGCTAGGACTTTAAAGGGAATTAAGCAGGTCACAGGGAGATGAAAAGAGTTAATGTTTAGTAAACAAATATTTGTTGGGCCCTCGTGAATCAAAGACACTGGGTGGACTTTAATGAAATAGCTTTGCTGGGTTCCTCCCTGTTACGACTCCTAGATCAGGTTAAACTATAGTTATCTATGAAGATTGTGCCTTCCTGAAGCAGGTATTCTAGCTTAAATTCTTTTAGGCAGTAAGGGGAAGGCCAGAGGGTCTTCCTGATCCTGCTGGACCGTGACTGTTTCTAGCTCAGAATAATCTGCCTAACAGAGTGACACATCTTAGGGCAGCTCATCAGAACCTACACAGGCTTAGGAATTATTCCCCACAAACTTAACTCATCTCAGACCACAGCCAGAGTCCAAGGACAGGCTGGATTCCCACAGCCTCCTTCCACGCTCCCTGAGCCTCGCTCCCAGGGCCGAGTTTGGAACACCACAGCTGTCACGGCTCATATTAGGATAAGGTGCATTTCCCAAGACTGACTTTTAGAGAAATCTTTGTTGATATTTTAAAGTTAGTTTTGTCCTCGAGAATATTTACCTAGATTTTCTAAGAAATGGGTGGAATTTGTCAGAAATGCAGGGCAAATGTAGCTGCCCGGTAAATTAGTAATATGTCTAAATGAAAGGGCCCAGAAGTAATATAAGTTCAGGTACTTGGCTATGTGCAAAGCACGTCTCCAGACATGGGGACATGACAGTGAAGAGTGTCTACTGCAACAGAAGCCCAGCCCTCTGGGAACTTATATCTTCGCAGGGGCAGACACGTGCACACATACATGGTAGAAAAGGGCAGGGTAAACGTGGACAGCGGGTGATGGGGTAGGGCCCACTATCTATAATAATAAAAGTGTAATATGCAAATCAACTGAATGACCGAACAGCAGAATGACCATCCAGACCATCTTCTGGACGACAATCCTATGACACACACTGGCGCCAGACCAGCCAAGGCGAGTACAATGCGATTGGTCAGGGGGCCCTGCCATCGCCCCAAGATGGCCCCGCAGAGGGAGGCCCAGGCCACCCTCTGCAGGGTGATCAATGGGAGGGCTCCCTGATCAAGTGCCCCAAAGAGGGAGGCCCAGGCCACTGGCCAGCAGGGCGATCTATTTGGGGGAGGGGAGAGGAGGGGGCCTCCTCGATCACCCCAAAGAGGGAGGCCCAGGCCACTCTCTGCTTGGTGATCAATCATGGAGCCCCGGCCAGGTGGGTGAGGCCCCCCGGCTGGCAGCCACAGAGGGAGGCCCAGGCCACCAGCCAGCAACACTGTGGCAGGTGTGCAGGGCTGGCCAGTGATCGCCCTGTAGAGGGAGGCTCAGGCCAGCCAAGCGATAGCACCCCATGTCTGTCACCTGCAGAGGAAGGCGACCAGTGGTGGGGGAGGGGGGGCAGCGCCGCACAGATGGCAAGCAGTGGCAGCGGCGGGGGCGGGGCCAGCTGCTGGCAGCCAGGGGAAGGAAAGCTCTGATAGGCCCTGATCGCCAGCCAGGCCTAGGGACCCTACCTGAGGAGTCCCAGATTGTGAGAGGACGCAGACTGGGCTAAGGCACCCCCCCCCCCACCCTGTGCACAGATTTCATGCACCAGCCTCTATCTAGTTCTATATAAGATGACTAAGGAGGGCCTGCTGAGGTGTCATTTGAGCTGGGCCCCGAGGAGTCAGAAAGGAAGTGTGGGAGTGAGTCTTGTAAGTACCAGGGGCACTGCTTCCAAATGAAGGAATAGCAAGTGCAAGGGTTCCAGTGTATGAGGCATATTCTAAGATTGGCAGAGCCCAGTGTGGCTGGCGGGAAGTGAGAAATGAATACTGCGAGGCAGCCAGACACCAAATATCCTAGAGACCATGGAAGGGCCTTCTCTAGCTTTTACCCTGGAGTGAGGAACCGTTGCAAATGTAGATTGTAATAACTAAAGTGTTAGTGTTTTGTTTTAATTTTCTTTGAGGCATTCCCCATGCACATATTGTTACTAATCATTCAAAAAAAGAAAAGTCATTCACGCCTCCTGCCTAGCACAGCCAACAAATATTTGAGCACCGACCACATTTTGTTATAAGGGAATTTTCATGATAAAAATTATACCTCAAGTTGTAAGAGCAGACACAAGACTACTCTGTAGTGAATTATCAAGTGAAATTTCAAGGCCCCAGATGAGGGTTGTGATAATCATCAGCCTCTCAGTGGTACAGCAAAGATCCTTGTGGTCCTTGGTCTGAAGAGGAAAGGTTGGGTAAGTGGCGTGGCCACAGGTGCTAGGGTGATCATCTCCAGGTAGCAAGGTCCTTGTACTGAGCTGCCCCAAGAGTGGGGTTGAAGGGAGAGGCCTGCATCAATAGCCGTGAGGAGAGTCCATCTGTGCGTGGCAGCCTAGCAGCAGGCCCATCCTGCCTACCTTAAGCCCTAAAGCAGTGGTTCTCAACCTTCTGGCCCTCATGTTGTGACCCATACAGTTCCTCATGTTGTGACCCAACTATAAAATTATTTTCGTTGCTACTTCGTAACTGTAATGTTGCTACTGTTAAGAATCGTAATGTAAATATCTGATATGCAGGATGGTCTTAGGCGACCCCTGTGAAAGGGTCGTTCGACCGCCAAAGGGGTCGCGACCCACAGATTGAGAACCGCTGCCCTAAAGGAATCTGAGCTGATTCACCTCTGTAGTATGCTGAGGACAGCTGGAGGTTGCGGCTGGGGGTGGGGGCAGGGGGTCCAAAGGCTTTGGAAGCATGGGTCTGTTTTCTCCCTCATCATACTGTCCAGGATGTAAGGAATACACAAGAGGGTGCTTTTTCTATGGAGAACAAGTTCCCTTGTACAGTATGGTATACAAGCTGGCTCCTGGGCCATCCATCAAGTCACAGATGGCTTGGCAATCACAGTACTTCGCCCTGGTTGAAGTCTCTGTAGTGGGATCTTTATCTGAATATGAACAACCCCCTTGCTCTTTCCCTCTTCTCTCCTCACCTCGCCATTTCTTTCCTTCACCAGCTGCAGTCACACCCCTGGCTGTGTGGTCACAGAATGGTAGATTTGGAAGGGACCTAAGAAAGAGAAGGGTCTGTGGCTCCGAGGATCAGCTAACTGCCAGAGGCCATTTCCTAGTAAGTGGAAAAACTGAGGAAAGGAGCTAGTAGGTCTTAATCCTAAAAGGCTAAACTGGTCCTCTCTTCACACCTCACCTCCAAATTTCTGTTCTTGATCTTAACCTTAGGGCCCATCCCATGTTCTATCTCAGGAACTTAATTCCACCCTAATTCTGATCTCAGCTCCTAGGCCACAGGGAGACTTGTAGTTGTCACTTGGAACACTGGCTGTTCCTATTGCTACTCTCTGTCTTGGTTAGGCACTTATTAATACTACTAGTGGCCCAGTGCATGAAATTCGTGCACAGTAAAAGGGAATTAATTAGAGGAAATATTTTAATACTGCTATTTGCCCTTTCTCTATAATAGAAGTGTCAGAGATGAAAGAAAATTAGTATATGAAAATCTTCCTCCTGTCAGAGTCTGGGGCATGCTGCGGGACCCAGAGTCAAGTCCCTGCCCACCCGTGTGCACCTTGAAATCGCGCGAGCCCCAGACCCGGCCAGCCCCACCCCTATTGGGCGAGATCCAGACCTGGCCGGTCCCACCCCCGACAAGCCCCACCGGATGGGGGCACAGCCTCAGGTCCCCCAGCCTGGCGCCAGGCAGGGGGCGCAGCCTCAGGGCCCCTGTCAAGCCCCACTGGGTGGGGGGGTGCAGCCTCAGGTCCCCCGGCCTGGTGCCGGGCAGGGGGCGCAGCCTCAGGTCCCCCAGCCTGGTGCCAGAGCAGAGGGCATGGCCTGAGGTTCCCCAGCCCAGCGCCGGGGCAGGGGCCGCAGCCTGAGGTCCCCTGTCAAAGCACTGCCGGGCGGGGGAGGCGCAGCCTCAGATCCCCCAGCCCGGCGCCACACAGCCTCAGGTCCCTGCTGATCGCTTGTTATGGCTCGTTATGGGAACCCTGCCTCTACTGTGGGCGCAGTCATCTTGTGTTATGGGAACCCTGCCTCTGTTGTGGGTGCAACCATCTTTGTGATGGAGTGAGGGTCAATTTGCATATTACCTCTTTATTATATAGGATAGGATCCTTCACACTCAATAATGAGATAGCTTTATCATGGGAAGTCCCACCACATAATAACCAACCTTTTTAAGAGTGTTCCTATGAAGAACTGCGCTCCGACAAGTGCTCTGTGTTTGGCTGATGGGAAGCCATCGGAAGCCATCTGTGTATAATCAAATGCGGGGGAGAGGGTTTGAGAAAGGCACTTTCACTATCAAGGCTTAAGAGTTTGCAAAGTGTGCCAGAATCTGCAAAAAATGTAAACTCACAGTTGCATCAGGCCATGAATCATATTTAGGAAGGCATGGTAAGAATATTGCTCTCTGATTTATAGACCTGTGTATTCTGCAGACTGCCCAGGTTGGGGCGGGGGGAGGTGGGGGGGGGCATGGGGTTGCCTCCTCCATCCAGGCAGAGTGCTGGCCTACCTGGACTTGCAGGCAGGCAGCAAGGGGCCAGCACTTTAATAAAATAGCTCCCTGATGCATGGGACGCTCCGGCCATCTTCCCAGCCAGAGGTGAGTTCTGACTCATTGAGATGTGCAGGCTTCCAGGGATCCCTCAGCTCCTACCTGGCTTTACTCTGGATTTAGGTGCTTATGTATTAGATACATCAAGATCTTGGGAAATGGGCCCGCAATGAAATTAAAGCAAGAATTGAAAATTGGCAGAAGTAGTGCTATAGGTTAGCAGGTAATAGAAACTGGACTATAAATGAACATTTTAATCTCCCTATATACATCTATAATAATAAAAGTATAATATGCTAATTAGACCGGATGTCCTTCCAGATGAAGCCGGGGCTGTGAGGGAAGCCTGGGTCCTGAGTGCCTGCTGGCAGCCGGAGGGAAGCCCGGGTTCCAGGTGCCAGAAGGAAGCTGGTGCCGGCAGCCAGGGGAAGGAAGGCCTACTCTTGCATGAATTTTGTGCATTGGGCCTCTAGTACTCTAATAAATGAGTAGGGAGAACATTTTGAAAAGACACTCTTTTCTTTGGGGTGGGGACACTTTCTTTTTTAAGATGCTGGGGAGATGCTGAAAAACTATGTAGTGGAAAAGACTGGCCAAGCAGGACAGAAACAGCTAGAGAGGCTTCTGAACCAGCTTTGGGTGGACTAGAGAATCTGGTAATGATGGTGATAGAGATGAAAAAAATGTTAAGACAGCATTGCCAGCCTTTTCATCTACATGGTTATGTGTTTGGGGGATTCGCTTGGGCAGCATAAAGTCACCATCCGCCAGTGCTTCTATCCCATTTGTATTCCGTTCCCAGGTTTGATTTATTTCCTGGACCATCAGGCTTCTGAGGAAACATCTCTCTGATCAATTAAGGATTTACATTAATTGGGCCCAAAACTATTTCAGGCAACTCATTTAGAATGAGAATTCGAAGAAATAAATACACACTAAAACATCAATAAACTCTTCTAAAAGATATACCTGATTAGAATAGCCCTCATTGCATGTCTCAACTGTTAGAGCCACGTAAACATTGCCTATGTGGCGAGAAATTTTAATGTAATATCAGACCCCGTCTGGGCAGGAACTTTGTATCCTGGTTCTATCCTGGGACTCTTGGTAATTGCTTACGTTCTCTGGGCCTTTCTTTTTTATTTTTGTTAATCCTCACTGGAGGATATATTTTTCCATTGATCTTAGAGAGTGGGAGGGAGTGGGGGTGAGGGAGAGGGACACATCTATGTGAGAGAGGCACACTGATTGGTTGCCTCTTACACATGCCCTGTCTAGGGCTGAGGATCAAACTTGCAACCCAGGTAATCGAACTCGAGAGCCTTCGGTGCTCGGGGCGACACTCTAACCGCTTTGGCACACTGGCCAGGGCTGGGCCTCCCTTTCTAATATTGTATAAAGAAAAACCTATGAAAAAAATCCGAGTTTTTTTTCATACTCAAATTCTAGTTTTGTAAACAAATATCTATGGTAGACCTATTTTATCTGGCTTAATGATAATCATTTTATTTGTAGAGGAAAGCCTTTAATATCTTCTTTCCTCTTCTCCTTTTATAGTCATTTTATTTCTGAGAGCTTTATTTTATATCATTCTTACTTTTAATCAGAAAAACATTCCACATGAGGGAAAAATATGATGAAGATCCAGAAATGGTTTCTTAATATTTTGCACCATCAAAAATTAAGTACCAGAAAGATGGTATCTGAGCCAATAGTTCATTTTTAGGTTTGAAAATCAGTGTCTTAAAACAGATCAGTTTTTTGAAAAGTATGTGCCTTTTGCGTATCAAAAATAGCAGCATAAAATTCTGCACATGCTTTAACATTAGTGTAGTCCTGTGATGGCGAACCTTTTGAGCTCAGCGTGTCAGCATTTTGAAAAACCCTAACTTAACTCTGGTGCCGTGTCACATATAGAAATTTTTTGATATTTGCAACCATAGTAAAACAAAGGCTTATATTTTTGATATTTATTTTATATATTTAAATGCCATTTAACAAAGAAAAATCAACCAAAAAAATGAGTTCGCGTGTCACCTCCGACGCGCATGTCATAGGTTCGCCATCACTGGGTAGTCGATAGAATAGAATGAGATCTTTTGTTCTAGCTCTTTCTAAATTATTCATTAAGCTTAAAGAGCTCCTCTGGTGGTCATTCACAACAGTCCAGCAAGACAGGGGATATATTTCGTTCTCCCCGTTAACTATCTAAATCATCCTAATACCACACAGTTAAAGGAAAGGGTGTACGAAGAATGCTATGAGGTCACCTTCTCTTGGTCTCTTGTTCCTCCTAGGGAGTGACTATTTTCCTAAGACAGGTCCTAGTTCCTCCCATGATATGCTGCCTGCCACGTAGCTCTCCATTGGTGACAATTCATAGATGTAAGAGGCGCTGTTGCTGCTGGTCATCATGATTCCATCCATCAGTCAGGGGTTCTGGAGAGAGAGGCGAGTGGACCAGGCAGGAGCCACCATGGTCTGCTTGGCCACCGGCAGCTGGCAGGCCCTCCTCCAAGTGCAGCAGCGCCTGTGCAGTGCTGCCCAAGGGAGCTGTTAGGTGAAATTGCTCATTCGTGTACTTATGTGCATTCCACTTTCAGTGCCAGGCATTGGTTCTGGACACACGAGGCACTCCTCTCTGCAGAGAGCTGTCTGTATAGCCATAGGCCCCGCCACTCGGGAAGTCTGGTGTTACCTTAACCTGCTCTGCAGTCAGCCAGTCATTAAGTCTTATATATTCTAATTCCTCTTCCTCTTCAGGATCTGCCTATGTCTTCCTTCCCCACTGCTTTTAGTTCAGGCCCCTCTGCTTTCCCTTTCCTTCCTGGATATTGTTGTAGGCTCCTAGCCATCTCTACCTCACCAGCCACACTATGAACAAGGTGATCTTTCTAAAAACAAAACTGGCCATGTCACCGCCCCCTTTCAAGACCTGTGGGTACGCCCCATCCTCGGTATTTCATACCATTCCTTCCTTATCTGGACCAGCCTCGTTTCCGGTCGCTTCCCCTCCCTTCTGCACACTATACACGGTGCCTAATTACATACATTTCCCCAATTATGCCAGATTCTCGCTAATCACCATTTCTTGGAATATGCTCTTCCTCTTTTTGAGTCAGCTTCCCTTCCGTGTTGTACTTGGTGAAATCCTTGAAAATTAAACTAAATGGTCACGTCTTCTAGGAAGTTCTTCCTGGACCCCAGGCCACTTGGGTCTTCTTATCTATATCTTCTTATCTGGCACCTCCTTGATGGGGCAGTCACCACACTGTGTTATGATTGTTATTTTACTTTTCTCTCTCCTCTCTCAGATTCTTGGATGATAAGTATAGGACTATGTCTTACCTTTGTTTTCCTTACCCCTGGCATTGTGCCTGACAGAGGGAAATTTCTTAGTTAATGTGTATTGATCTGGCCCCGCCAGCGTGGTTCAGTGGTTGAGCATCAACCTATGAACCAGGAGGTCATGGTTCGATTCCCGGTCAGGCACATGCCGGGATTGTGGACTTGATCCCCAGTGGGGGGAGTGCAGGAGGCAGCCCATC